CAGGATTATTATGGGGATATATTTATTACATTATATTCATTCAGCAGACACTTATGTCCAAAGCTACTTATAGTCAGTGCATTAGTCACTTGCCACAACAATATTATTTTGCTACCTGAGTAAGCCAGTCTGGACTGTCCTATCATTTGGTGAGCCATTTTAATCAGTCAAGTATGAGTGGGACTTGGGCTGCAACTTACTATAAAATGTCATTAAAAATGTCCATCTCAGTTTCTCAAAGTCCAAAGTAATGTGTTCAAATGTCTTATGTAGTCTGACCAACAGTTCAATTGGTACTGTTGTTTAAAAGCTATCAGACATGTGTGAGAGATTGACAAGACTATGACATCACACAAACCACCTGAACTTTAACTTACTTTTGTGCAGTGTGCTACACATATAGGGAAGTTAAATAACAGGTGCACAAGCCCTAGCATTTTTTCCCTGGTTGCTGCCACTACTGGGTCTTCACAGGGTCATTCAGGGGTGTGATGGTTGTCATTCCCAACTCTGAATTCAACACGTTCCCTCCACTTATTATTTTTCTTCATCTGTACGAATATCAGTGTATGAACAAAAAAGAATATCCTTTCTGTGCTTCTGTATCTTTTGTCACATCCTCACAGATCTGCAAAACGGTGGGTGTGTGGAGAAAGAGACAGGAAGAGGGAGGGGAACGCAGGGACAGCATGATGAAGTCTGACAAAAGCTTAAGATTGATGGGAGAATGCTGTTGCACACGTTCCAAGCAGAACCCCATCAGTTTCAGTGGCGTTCAAGCACACATTCCTTGCATACTATCTCTCGCACCAAGATGTGAAACTCCAAAGTAAATGTGGGTTATGGGTGCTGGCCCAGGGCCAGGTTTCAGTGTGATTTCTTACTCTCATCTACTGCTCTATAATACTACCACCCATAGCTCTAGGGAGAAAGTTTAAATCAAAGTTGTGAGATGAGAAAGAGAGAAAGGTCAATGAAGGATGGAAGGAATAAAACTGCAATGGAGAAAAGGAAGATCAAATACCTTTATCAACAAATCCCTCCAGGGTCCAAAATTAATTATAAATTTATAATTTAAGTTATCCAACAAGTATTGATTGTTTAGCCAAAATCTGATATGACTTAAGCATCCATGCCATAAAACTGTCATTTAAATTAAGCAATTAAAACACATAAAAAGCCATTCTATTGAATTTAAGTGACATTCATTACAATGAATACAGAAAAAAGTTTATTCCTCTCAGCTTGTCCAATTGGCAATGTGTTGTAAACATGGAGGCAAAACTTCAAGCATGCACAGTGATGGCTGCCTGACATGTATTGCAAATATTTATTTTAATCAATGAATATGTCTATACAACAATACAACTGTATTGAGAACAGTAGTTTTTGGATGACAATCGAGCTCTATGACACAGACATATGTACACTATATCAGGCTGCAGCTACACAGACAATACTTGTTGCAGGATAAATTCTTTGTTGATTTTGATCTGCTCAGGGAGTGTGTCAATCTCAAGTATTATCCTTTAAAGTTTGAAAATTGTGTTGGCCAAAAAGTAGACATAAAAAATAATAAGGAGCAAGAGGGAGCAAAGACGAACAAGGGAGGGAAGGCAAGTAAGGAGAAAAATAACGAAGTAAGAAGAAAAACCCCCTCAGTTTGTGGCAATAAAAGAGTACCGCTGCTCTCTGGGAGATTAAATATGAACGGAACAAAACAAAACGAGGGCTTTGAGACCCTCCGAGTCCTAGCCATTCTTCTGGCCACAGTAGCCTAGCAACCGCTGCTTGACCAGTCCATTGTGCAAACGTATGTTAAGCTTTTATCCCTCATTAGCAACATTCCTCCCTGCAGGCTGGGATTTTACAGATTAGGTTGAAAAACACAAAAGAGAGAGAACAAATCTTGCTGACTTCCAACATATTACTTTACAGGCTAATCATTGATCAAATAGCTGTATGTTTGTCTGTGTGGAGCATGTGTACACTGCAAGTTGATAAATGACAGGCTGAGTAGTTGAGTGAAGGTGAAGAAGTTTAGGTGTTTTTCTGCCTCTATATATATGTACCTGTCTATGTGCTGGTTTATCCTTAGAATAAAAACTGGAGTCAAACAACCTGACAATACATACTAGTAATAGAGACAAGATACAGCCACACCAACAGACATAGCCCTTATTAAATATTAAAAAAGGGACAGATTGCTGATTAACAATCACTTAATGCAATTTATCAATTTTATTTTTACCCCCTGTGAAGATAATTCTCACTCCTTTTATCCTTTTGGACTGACCAATGCACACACAACGCCAAGACACAGACAACAGTCCCACACTTGCAACAGATGCAACCGTTGCAGATGCAACAACTTGTCTAAGCTGCTCATTCTGGGTTTTTTCCTGGGAAAACAACCCAACACACCACAGGGTGCCATTTGTGTGTTTGTGGGCAGGAGAGAGTTGTTTGTGAACCCACTGCCCGGGTTCAAAGTAAACACATTCTGCTTCTTTCATTCTCTCTTTATTTAGATAAGACTGTATGTTGACTACAGATGTTCAGACTTCTGACCCTGGAACAATCAACTACATGCAAGTAGCAACAGCACAGTTGCAAACCGGAAGAATTCAGTGTCTTTCTTGGTCTTGTTTTGTGCTTAACAGCTTTGCAGTGGGCTGCAGTGCAGTGGAAATGAGGAATACATTCAGAAAAACTGAAATTTATTCCACTGGCCTAAAAGAGCCCCCTGGTTTCATTACAGCCCAGAAAGGCAATAAGCACACTGTGAATGGTCTCTCCTGTGTTTTGTTTTAAAAGTTCCCTCCTTATTTAAAGCTTATACTGTCTCTTGGTCACAGTGAAGTGGCAGGACAAACACATCGATTTGTGTTAGCAGAACTGTGTCTGTTCGGGGGAGTTTGTTTGTGTATGTTCACCAAACATCCGATTATCTCGAACAATCCAAACAGCAGTTAAATCCTTTCTCTCCATCTGCCCTTTAATTAACACAAATCTTCATCTTAAACAAGACTACTTTTAGAGTTGGGCTCTTCTACACTGTTCACCACATGGTGTGATCATAGGGCATTATACGCACATTAAATGCATTATTTCAAAGTTTTGTTCCAAATTGTTTTAAAAATCTACTTCTCCAGACACAATTACTGTCCACATTCCAAACTAGGTGATAATGTTATTTTAGAGTGAATCAGGTTTGTTCTTATCTTGGACAAACTACTCATCAAGTGCAAACAATTTTACTCAATGGATATACTGCACTGTATAACAAATACATTCTAAATTATTGGTATTTGGTCTGTATTCAGTTTTTAAGATTTACCACAATATATTTGACCAATTTTCCTGTGAATATAAGTGGGCTATGAAATTACTCGTGAGGATTGACAAGGTGTGGACTTCTTGTCATGTTTGCAGTATCCCTGGTGTTTATTATCTGAAACTATAACCATGTATAAAGGTCATGTTTGCAGCATAAAAATTTTATGATCACTGGGCATATATGTGTTTGACTTGCATGCATAGATTTTTCAATGCTAGTCCACAGAGGACCCTCCAAATCTGTGAAACACTGGGAGACAATCTTTGTCTTAATCAGGTGATCATGGAGGATCTGGTCTGTGTACATTTCACATGTTTTGTCTCTACATTCACACCATAACTCTCACAGCTGGAGATAAACAGACATCAATGTGCCAGAGCTGCTCTCCACATGGCCCCAGGTTGATAAGAAACTCTGGTCACAAAGGGAGAAATAGTATTTGGAGTCATATTACAGACATAAACACACCTGAGTTGAAGTAGGTAGCCTGTGTCAGTAGGTATATGACTCAGACTCTTTTCTCAATGAGTCCTGGCCATTCATTATTCAGTCCTGGGAAATTAAGGTTAGACCGATGTCCATGTAGGACCTAACACAGTTGTTGGCCTTCTGTACTGAACCAAGTTCAACCACATGACCCCGTTAAACTATCAAGAAACACAAAAGGGTAATTTGCAAATACCCAAAAGTCTATTTTATCTCATTTATTGCTGCAAACACAAACAATTGCAGGAACTATTAAACTGTGCAGACATTCCTTGGAGTCCTACATTACAGAAAACCCCTAAGTGCATATTTTTGTCAATTATTATATGTAGATAGGTTCTCTGTCTGACTTGTTTTTACACTATGACCTCTGGCATTAGCTCTGGTTGATCAGGCGGGCCTGACAGTGTAGACCAAGTGTGTCTGCTTATGTGTTTGGCAAATCACTGACTTTATTTGAACAACATTTCAGCTTGGGGTGGAGAGGGGGCGGGGGAGGTGTGTGTGTGTGTGTGTGTGTGTGTGTGTGTGTGTGTGTGTGTGTGTGTGTGTGTGTGTGTGTGTGTGTGTTAAAGGATGATAGGGTGAGTGCAGGGGGGTGGGGGGGTAACCCAGCTGAACAAACCCTGACTTTATTTCACATCCTCTTGATGGTATCCCCCACCACTTCATACAACCACAGACCTTGTACACCTCTTTAAATCTATCCTGAGTAAAGGGCAGTGTTGTACCTGTGATGTTGTGAAATACATAATTATTAGTTTTCAGCAACCTCAGTTCAGGCTGTAATGACAAAGCTGTGTTTTCCTGATAACCTATAAGAAAGAGGTGAGCATTTCCCATGCCCCCTGTCTTTAATACAATATTAAACAACCACTATCTGTGCCACAAGTTGAGTGCAGTTGCCAGATTGAACTGTGAGATTGTCTGGGTTGGATAATGCTTAAAGTAATTGCTCCAGAAGAGGCTATGGAGTTAGTCAACACTTACAGTTACTTAAACAGAACTGAACCAAATAGTGGCTATAAATAACTAAAGGAGGATGTGCTGCATGTGCAACAGGTGGATGGTTCTCCCATAGACCCTGTGAGGACTTTCTCCTAAAGTTAGGATGTTCATCTTCATGTAATAAGCACACACACTCACACACACACACACTTCAATCTTTGCTTACTGTTGCTAGACTTCAGGTCACGATGGATGATGGGTACCACGGCCTCCTCGTGTAGATAGTGCATCCCGCGTGCAATCTGCACGGCCCAGTTGACCAGGATGTGTGGAGGGATGCGCCTTCCGGTCAATACCCGGTTGAGTGTCCCGCCTCGGGCATACTCCATAACCAGACACAGGTTGGGCTCATCCAAACACACTCCCTCCAGTTTAATAATGTTGGGGTGCTGCAGCATGGAGAAAAGTTTAGCTTCTTGTTTAACACTGCCGGCGGTGGCTGTTATGTCCTCGTCTGGGTCTTGCCGAGCCGCCTTCACTGCAACCTCTTGATCTTTCCATGTGCCTCGGTAAACTTTGCCAAATCCACCCACGCCTATGATCTCCTCTAGTACCAGTTCAGTGAAGGGAATCTGAACGGGCGAGCTCGGGACTCGCTCTCGTGTCCCCACTGACCCACTCGTAGCTGGTAGACGGTAAATAGCGGGCTGGTAGGTGACATAGTTGGAGGGGAAAATCCCGACCCGGTGGTTGATTTTACCCGTCCACCATCCCTCGTCCCCGGAGATTGCAGCGTCCTTGGACAGGACCTCCACCACGTCCCCTCGTCGGAGGCTGAGCTCGTCCTCGCCACTTGCCTCGTAGTCGTACGCGGCTGTCCATAAGGACCGAGTCGGGCAGAGCGGGGCTGAGTGAGCCCACGCCCGAACTGGTGGTGAATCTGTCCAGGCATGCTCCCCGGTCCCATCGCCGCCCGGCCGCCCTTCACCGTTTGGGAAAGCGGCCTGCGAGACATCCATTTCTCGGTGGCCGTAGCGGCACCATAGGGTGCAGAGCTTTTAGAACAAAATGAAAACTTTAAAACGTTAAGAGATAACTTTCTGAAATCCGCATGGTGTCACATCTACGAGGCTAGCTGATGAGAACAGAGGGGAAGTCCCAGCGCAGCCCACGGCAGGGTCAAACCGTGTCCAAAGTCCTGTGGGAGAGAGTGTCTACAACCCCGTATCCACGTCGCCACTCCGGTAAAAGTGTATGAGGGTCAACAATTAGCTAGCGAGGTTGCTGGCTAAGGTTAGCCGAAATACTTTTTAGCCAGTGTCACCACTTTATGGGCTGGCGGATAATAGCAATATAACTTTGGAATTGAACAACTTAAGTGTCAAATCTCAAACGATCTCAACTACAAGAGAAAATTGTATTCCACAACATAGTCTCTGCTTCTATTTCATGCTAACACGAACAAGCTAAAGTTAGCTCTCTACCGATGGAGCTAAGTTACTGTTTTCGCAGGTGCCGCAAGAGGTGCACCTGCACCGGCCACTCCAACCCAAATAAAGTGAGCCTCCGAGGGGCAGGTTTCACTGTCAAAGTTACCAGACAATCTCATCTAGTCACCGAATCCAGAAATGTAAAGTTCGTTTGATAGTTTTTTACTTTAACAGCAAATTCCAGACTTTTGGCTAGTGGGTTAGCTTAGCATAGGTCAGCCAGTTGACTACTACGGCAGTTGGAAAAGTTGCTCCTCTCAGCTTTAAGATCGGTTATTCCCAAGTTTATTTCTCCGTTGGTGACGTGAAGAACAGCCGAGGGTTGAACGCTTAGAAAGCGCATCAAACATCCTGAATTTCAACGAAACAATATGGGAATAAAAAACATGAAGAAAAAAAGTCCGTCAACCTTAATCAAAACAACCCCCCCAATCGCCGTTGTCGCCAAGCGGAGTCGGACCCAGCAGTGGCAGATCCACGGAACGCTGCCGCTGCTCTCGGTGCTGGCTGTGGTGCCCTCTGATTGGTATGTTTTGTGACACGTGACCATAGTGTCAGCGAGTAAGTGTGGGGTGGGGGGACGGGCTGGGGAGGAGCCACTGTAGGAATGTGTGAGGAGAGCGCGCCTTTAGGGAAATTATGGGAATAGTGAACCATATAATCACTCACACACACACACACACACACACACACACACACACACACACACACACACTTTCTTAGTCCCCTCCAGCCATGTGAAGGTGTGAGGGAAAAAATTACTGTAGGTAAAGTAGTTTCATAGACTACAAATATAAATACTCCTACTACAGCTAATGGTAGGCTATTATTAGAATGGGAATCAGCTTTATCTGCCACGTGCGCAAGTGTGTTGTGATTGCACGGACAATGCAATGTATGCGAGACAATAAACACAGACAACTACACAAAGACAACAAGGCTATATACTCACAAACTCACTCGCAATCAACCCTCCTTCGTGTAGGTTACGATGATAAGTTATTCGCTTTAGAGAGATGTTAGATCAACTGTATTATTATCTATCTATCTATTTATTTAATTGTTTATTTTTTGGAGGGGGAGGGGGCTAAAGTGATCATAATGTTGAATCAACACCTCTCTAAAACAGTTTCAACACAATCTGTTAAACATTATAACCGGTTTTATTGCAGGACTGTTGTATTAGTGCATTAACTGAAAAAATGTAACTGTAATTATGGCATGTGCCAATGTTTTTTTATATATATATTATATTATAGGCTATGATATGATATAATATGAGATGATATGAGATGAGATGATATGATATGATATGATATGATATGATATGATATGATATGATATGATATAATTAATGTCTGTTAACTGGCCTATTTAGAATATATTATATATCTACACATGGAAAATGAGTAGTCTACAGCCTGGATATTCGCACATACATTACCTCTAAGCATACAGTATACTGTATAAACATTACATACGCAGGTCTCCACATAGTGAGATACGTATATGAACACTAGATTGATTGTTTATCTGATTTTTCCTGCAAACCGTTTGTGCGCAGATCACATAATAGGAAAGGATGGAGAGGGAGGGAAGGAGGGAGGGGGAGTGGGAGAGGAGGGGAGGCGGTCAGAGCTGCGCATCTGTGCAGGCAGCCCGAGAGGAGAGGGAGAAGGAGAGAGACGAACAGGACAAGATGAGGACCGCGGCAGCAGCAATGGACGAATCGACATTGGGATGGGAAAAGGCAGCCGAGAGGACAACACCGAGGAAGACGGATGAGGCATGAAAGAGAATGGCTCTGGAGACGTGCTGTAGCTATCACCCCAACATGGAGGCGTAGCGACTGTAGCATGCATTAGAGGAGATCATTTCATTGTAGCCTAGCAGCAGTAGCAGCATCATCATCATCATCATCGGTCCGTCCAACCTGAGCGGAGAGGAGGAGAGAGGAGGAGAGATGGGCTCCCAGGTTGTGCAGACCCTGCGTCAGGGAGTCTGGGCATCTCTGACCGGGGGCTGGTACCACGAACCGGACCAGAACAAATTCAACAACTCCTGCCACCTCTATCTGTGGATATTCCTCCTTATGTTGCCCCTGTCTCTCCATCTGGTGAGTTTTTTGTATTTTTATCAGGGAACATGATGTTAAAGGCCGTGAAGGGGGTGTGAGGTGAGGTTCACGGTAGCATATAGGTGATCATTTTTTTCATGCGGTCCTACATGTTTATCCTCCTTTGGATAAACATGTAGGAATCTAACATCCTTCATTGTCTGGTTGCTGCTGGGGGGAAAGAGGCTAGAAAAACGCCACTGTCGCAGTGTTTCTCCCTGCATGCGGTGACGGAACGCATGGCTGCTCCTGGATGAGGCAGGAAGCGTGAAACTGTGGTTCACTAATATTTTCATGTCATGGCCTTTGAAATAGGTGCAACACAGGCTGCCTTACTCCCAGTGATAAGATCCTCAGTGAGGGTTTTGTTAGTAGTTTACCTTGTAGATTAGGAGAGAGTTGATTCTTATTGTCCCACCTCAACAGAGTGATACATCAAATTAAACTCTTAATTTTAAGGGACATTCTTGGTGACTTTTGTGTTCCCTTAATACTGCATTATACAGCAGGATGGTGGCATGACTAAAGGGTTGCGGCTATAGGTCAAACACCTTGACCTTAGCTGCCTGCTAGCCAACAACTGCCATGTACATTATTGGATGCTGATCAGTACAGATCCACAATGTTACCCGTTCTGTTATTGTATGTATCTCAGTAGGTTTTTATCAGTACACCAAACCAAGATGAGATATGATTGACTGCTACGATTATGTGGCGTGATTGCTCCCCACATCTCTTCAATCTCTGGTTTTGATACAGTGAACCAGGGCCAATCTGTAGGTGCTTGACGTCTAGCTACTTTAAATGATCAAAAATGTGCCCCTCATTGATGCACTGCTCTATAACTTCAGGTCAAGACCACTACTGTGTTCAGGTAATCCCAAATGGGCCATCTATGAATGAAGGTTAGAAAGGCAAAGTAGTGACAGCCAGCTGTTTAAGAGCTTCGCCACTGAAGTTTGACCAAAATGTTGTCACTGGCAGTTTTCACAGTCTGTTTGAAAACAACCTCTGCTTCCCCTGCAAAAACAACACAAGCTGTCTGGGAGAGATGTTTCAAATTTCAGTTTTGTTAGCATTTTATCTGAAGGTCACGCACAACATACAGCACAACATAAATGATGGTTGAGGAGCAGTCAAATATAAGCACGAATTTAGATTGTAAAATTGTACCTGCAGGCATTAATAAGAGTCCATGTCCAACAAAGCAGGAACTCTCTCCGGACCAGTATGACTCATGTGTCAGCATGATGCAGATGCTTTGTCTTTAATCTTCCTGTTCTTTGCTATGGGCTATTCCTCCCCTGGGAATCAATAAAATTCATTAAGCCACCAATTAATCAAATGAGATCTTGTGGTTCACTGAGCCTATAATACACTTGGGGAACAGTGTGGTCGTGTGACTGAATAAGCTTTGCTTTTTGCAGAATTTCAATTACATACAAAAAGTAGAGAAGAGACAGGTGGTGCTTTTCCATCCGGGGACTGCTACAGCTTGAAGCATCAAATCAAATGCTGCTCTGGTGGAGTCGTGAGACTCTGGAGATATCGTATTCTCTCCTCTCCTCTCTTCTACGCAGGCCCTGCCCCCTACCACTGTGGCTTTGAGCATCTACTGCACCTCCATCACCGTCTTCTTCATCCTCATCAAGCTGGCCAACTACCGCCTGCACCTGATGTTCGATGAGGGTGAGGCGGTGGTCCGCAGCAGCCTCTCTGACCTTAGCAAGGCCCAGGAGAAGAAAAGCAATGCCTCGGACTCCTGCCTGCCCGCCAACATCAGGTGAACCCCTCACACACACACTGATAATCCTGAAACTTCACTCAGTGAGGTCGATTGGAAGTAGCTGAAGAATTAATACAGATGTGGTTTCACCTTCATGGATGCATTAGAGGCCATTCAGAAAGACGTGCAGTATATTAACATTTAACAAACTGGCATTTTTGCTCCTTGCACCTCGAGCTGCTCCCCTGCCAGGTTAGTCATTACAAAATCTAGGCCAGAGGGCTAAATCCCTCATGATACAACTTAATTATTAACATGAAATTGCACATTTAGGCCTGAGACCTCCTTTCAGAATAATACCAGTAATACTAAGTATAGTATAACCTGTCTTCACATGCTCAACAACCTCTTTTTGACATAGTCCCCCTTTTTTCCCTCTGCATGAGTCTATTTTTCTCAATCCTCTCTGTCTCTGAGATCAGATTGATCAAGTGTATCAGAGTAGGACGCAGGCACTTTCCACTTTATTTCAGAAACTCAGTAGAGCTTTGGTGAATGAGCAAGCTAGTGAGGGGAGGTCAGTGTTGGCCACTCCACTCTAACACACTCGATCTGCACAGAGACTAATAAAAGAAATCCATCACTTCCTGTCCCCTACATGACTGTATTTCTCTTAATTTCATCTCTATAAATCAGAGTCTTTTAGTATTCCATACATGAGAGACTGAGAGTGAAGGTCGGATCATTTCCTCTAAAAGTGGAGTATTGACGTATCTACTTCCACAGACACTCCCCATCCTTCTATCTCTTTCTCTTCATCATTTAATTTCTCCCCTGTCTCTTGTCTTTGTCTAAAAGGAAGAGCAGCACAGTCCCCGACAGCGTTGCCATGACGATGCTGGCTCGTAATAAGCGCCCTAGTCCGGTGATCCAGGTGACAGTGAAGCAGACCGAAACCAACCCGGGACTGATTGGGGTGGTGAGTGACACCTGCCAGTATAAACACACAGTACAGAAAACACTGTGTTGACCTGCATTATGCCCCGATTTTAATTGTGTGTTTCTGAACTCTCCTCCACACAGGACTGTTCAAAGTCAGATGAGGTGAAGACCTTGGAAGGTGATACTGATCTTTCTCTAGGTTTGAATAAGACTCAGATGGGTAACTATTAAAGGAAAAACCTGAATAAATGACCAGAGAAACATAACAAACACAGGGCACGAAGCGTGGCTGGCGCCTGCTGAGTGTGAATATGATGTGAATCATAAACTTTGGCCTTCACAGTCACCAGGGGCCAGTGTCAGAAAGATAGACTATCTGACTATAGCTCACATCTGACCAATAGTCAGACTTTAGATCTTAAGTGGGAGTGCTTTGCAGTGAATTCTGGGGAAATAAGACTTTTTCGATGGCTTACCTCCAGCAGAAAACCTTCTGAGAAAAATTCAACAACTGCCGTCCAAGGACAATTCACTGGGAAAATTCAGTTTAACAAGTGTAACAATACAAAAAATGTACTTAAAGAGTTCATCTTTTTTTGTGAAACTGTTTGCACTAGGCTAATCTAAGACTGTAAACACTACAGATCAGTCTACAGTATCTTCATGAAACCAACCCCTGATCTCAGGGAGTTTCAGAGACTGGAGACTGAAGCTGTTCTGGCAGCTTGTAGTGGACCAAAACCTTACAAAGATACTTTATGTTGGCTTTTCCTATAATTTGTCACCCATCTGTACATGCTGTTACTCCCAATTACAAACAAGAGTGCATGCTCTTAAAATAATTCATGAACTTTTCATGAATTTTTTTCTGATGATTTTCCTTATGAAACAGCTGAGCTTTGGAAGTCAGCACGGCTTGTTATGTTGTATAGATAGTTATGTTATATATGTATATATATATATATATGTATATATAGTTATATACGTAATATGATTCATCGTCCACTCTCTTTGGAAATACAGAAGGTGAAAATCAGTCTGAGTTTGTTTGGCTGAATGTTTGTTCCAGTTTGTGTCAGATGTCAGTTTAGCCGACAAAGTGCTTAAAATATCTTAGATAATCCCTCTATGTCACCCTAACCCACCTAATTTCCCTGTGTATCTTTCTCTCATATTTGTACAATACTGTTTTATTTTTACAGTGAGAAAGAGAGAGATACAGGTGGTTCTTAAAGCATAATACATTTTATCTATATATCAAGCATTAATTGTCCCATTTTTGTTTGGCACGTTGTATGTATGTTACTGAGCTATAGTAAAGTTGCACCATTGATTCACGTGAGCTGAGGTTTGTTAATCAATGATCTGGTTGTAGATCAGAGGTAATGACCTCAGAAATAAAAAACAGGAATGCCAGACCAGAGGGGCTGAATTTTAAGAAACACATGAAAATGCAATGGCTTAAAGTGGCTTCTGACTGACTATGGGAGAAACATCTGGACAGATTTTGTGTGGTTTTATTTTAGAATAGTGGAGTCAACAGAAATCCATCATTTGAGTTCTTCTCCCCATTTGTATTTCAAACACTGGATTACATATTGTTGATGTCCTTTAAAACTTTAATCGTGTATTGGCATTGTTAAGTGAGTTTGACAGCTGAACGTGTCTATAACCTGCAGAAGCATTTCCATCAGGTTGGCAAATGAATGATTCATGATTCATTCTATAAAGACATTCTAAAAATGACACTGACAATATGACTGAATGATAAATATACACTTTAGAGTGAAGACAGGATGTAGAAAGACAAGCACATTTAACCACAGGGCATCATGGATTCATCTCTAGTTATTGTAGCTATTGAAGCCTGGTGTGTGATTTGGGGGGAACCGATGTTCCGTGTACTATATTGTCAGAATCAGCCAAACTGGAACCCAGTTCCCCTTCCCTAATGCACTGATGTAGATGGACAACTTCCTTTTCTGCAAACACATCATTGTGGTAAATTTGCTCAGACATGCACAGAACTAGCAGCCAGCCAGTTTGCCTGCCATAAAGACCAGCTGACTGCTTCCAGTAAATTTATGACCTAATGCACTGTTGATTATTCAGAGCCAAGTCAGCTGATCAGAAAAGGGGATATAATCACTGTGGTGCATTGCATCAAATCATTGCACAATTGTAACAAAATTTTGATATCTGTTTTTAATAGCAGCAGGATCGATCCCTTCTGCAGTTCATTTTATTGCATTGGGAAGATATTTATCCGCTACTGGCGAATGCTGCTCAACACAGCAGTGTGAATTTTGTATGTTACCTCTCCAGCCAAATGAGAGATCACATTTCAATGGCAGGAATTTTAGGATTAGAGCATTTTTAATATTATTACACTTTAAATCTACAACAAATTTGCCGTTCATTTCATTCCAGGACAGGGTGAGAGCGCTGCTGAGGAGAAGCCTGTGGAGGGAGGGCTGCACCCAAACCCAGAGCCTTCTCCAGATGACCTCTCCAGTCCCAATCCTGACCAAGCGGCCCCCCTGCTGCAGGCCCAGCAGAGGCCCCCATCCCGAGCTGAAAGAGAAGAGATGCGGCCTGGATCTGCTAGTGGGAAAATGGATGCAGAGATAATTGAAACTGGAGCTGTGAAAGAAGGAATGGACATTCAGAGCTCTTTGACGGGGACTGAGCAGGAAAGAACAGCAGAGAAAGACTCGGAGCAGGACAGGATAGAGGAGAAAGACTGCGAAGACAAAGAGACTGCAGACAGGGAAACAGCTGATGAAGGTCTGCCTCCCTCCAAGGGAAGCGAAGATGAGAGCGAGGAGGAGAGTGAGGGGCAAAAAGAGCCCTCAGATCCCAACAATAACTCACTGGAGACTCCCAAGGACCGCCAGGATGATTTCATTGATGTCCCAGAACCTCCTGCACAGGTAGGCCTTTCAGATGCGGATCTAAGTAGTTATTTTTGCGAGATTTTAATTTGACGTACTGGATACATGTGACTGACCTCTCATGCTTATAAAAAAAGGTGACTATATCTTAATGAAAAGGAATTCCTTGGGTGGAACTCTTCCCTTGTGTTGTCTGTCAGACTGAACCGCCGGAGGAGACGTACTGTTCTGATGAGATTGAAGTGGTTCTGGTGGACAACTCTGGCCCCGGGCCTGCGACGGTTCAACTGGACGACAGCGACACGGTCAAGATCATCATCACCATGAGCTGTGACCCTCAGACTGCTGCTCAGCTGGAGGAGAGCGTCAAGCAGAGCATTCTGGAGAATGCTCAGGTAAGAATCATTTTCGACCTCCGTTTTTATGTTCTCCATGAAACGTGTTTGATCCCCTACCATCAAGTTTCCCCATGTATCTTCAAAGCTGTTAAAAACATCTTATTCCACTATCTGACAGTATTATATAATGTATTTATTTACTGATATTGAAATGATTCAAATCCAAGTTTCCGTGCTTTTCTAGTTACATTATTCCATCAAATGGAAATATTCTAAACATCAAATTTCAGTCTGATGTGTTTGGTATCTTTAGAAATGTTGTGATCTCCACCACAATTTGAAATATGTTTCTGTGCATTTGATTGATGTCTGGCTGCACAGTACGATCCAATGGCAGGTCAGTTCTCACTGAGGCGTTGTTACATTTAAGGGATGGTGTGTGTGACATGTCTGTGTGTGTGTCAGGCTCAGAAGGATGCGGGAGAATGTCACATCAAGATCCCCGTCATCACCTTCGACTCCCCTGAGGAGGAGAAGCAGGAGGTGGAAGAGGGAGAAGAAGCGGCTGGCTCAGAGGACGACCCCACCCCAACACAGCAAGAGACAACGGGCGAAGAGTTTCACCTTTGTAAAGAAACAACCAGCTCTGAGTCGACCACACTGGAGTGTCCAGATCCAGACCAGGAACATCTCGGTCTGCAGATGACTACTGACAGCACACCGAGCCCACAGCTGACGAACGATAACAGCTCATCGGGGATTGATGTCCACTCCCACCATGATGACACAGACCCTCTGGATCCGAACGTGGATTCACAAGGGTTCCTGCGTCTGCCGCCAGCTTTGGGCCGCTACGGCCCCGGTGGAAGGACTCACATCCGAGGGCTGAGCATGGACAGTGGGAAAGATGCTGTCATGCTTTCAGACCGCTCACACAACACAGTATGTTGGCACTTTATCTCTGTTTCTATTTCTGTATCTTTCTTACAGTCATCTCCATCCATCTGTCCGTGCATACATACAAGCATTTGTCTCTCTGTTAGACCACCATGACCAGTTCCAAGTCAGATCTGGAAGCAAAGGAGGGCCAGATTCCCAACGAATCCAACTTCTTGGAGTTTGTTTCCTTGTTGGGGTCCCTCAGCATCAGAGGGGGTGGGGCCAGCACACAGGAAGAGGAGGGGCCGGAACACAAACAGGAAGTGGAAGCTGCGGAGGAAGGTGATTCTCAGCAAGATGGTTTGTTCCTTTACCTCCACCTCATTTATCTAGATGTTTTAAAGGCCCTGCGCACCCGTACAGGTTACAGGGTGCTGTCAGTCAACACCCACAGTTATGAGAAGAGGTCGCTTCAGGCAACAGTGGGTGGACTATAGATGTACAGGGGCTTTAAAAGATTAGGGTTAATGCAAATGTTTAGACATTAAGTGCATGGAAAAGTGAAATGTCACCACCGGTTTGTGAGCTGCAGTTGTTGCTCATGTTATGCCTCTGTGTGGTGGCTAATTATTACTATACTGTATATATTACTAGTATGTTAATATCATGTATTAAATTCAACAACATAACACATTGAAGTTGTGGGCCTTTAAAACCAAAACAATGAGCTGAATGATGCTAAAACTCTCCATAGGACTGAGGGGAACTGCAGAGTCAGAGTTCTCTGTGGTTTGTCAGTGTGAGCAACTCCTTCCTTCCTCCTAGATTTTAAATTTTTCTGTTCATTTAACCAAAGAACTTTTGAATATTTTTATCTGTTTGCAGAGAATCTGAGTATGACTTCCAGACCCGATGATACAGTAACAGAGACCAAGACAGAAAGCAAACCAGAGAGACCCAAACCGCCCACCAGCCTGCCTACCGACACACTACAGGCTCTACCACCCACACATATCCCAATAGTCTCCCCTGACAGGTACGTATGCCTAAAGAATCACAAGCACCAGTAACATATGCAAACAGCTGAATTCACAGTACAAACCTTTTAGATTCGAGCATCAAGCGTTCCAGAGCTCCAGTTGATTGCGTTTTCTCTCTTCAGTCCACAGACTGACAGAGAGAAAGATCCGGACTATGATTCCCTGCCTTCACAAACCTCACAGTCAGAGAGCTCCATGCTGCAGGTCATCTGCAGACCAGAGGCCACCAACAAAGAAGAGGCCTACACCTTCCATACTGTACACAGTAAGCAGTAATTCCCATTAGTTCCTGCATATGTAATGTTTTTTGTTTTTTTTGTTTTTGTTTTTTTTGCTGGAGACAAACAGCGATGAGTCACATGTAGTCAGAAACAACAAGGAGGTGCTGCAAATACACCCAGTCAGTGTGCTGGTATGGTCTGATATTATTTGCACAAATATACAGCGCGTGTGGGAGGCAGTGCCAGCAGCTGATGGCTTCTCTTTTGAAACAGCTCAAAAAAGCTAGCAGATTAAATGACATTTTTTTGGAATGGCTCCAAGATGTTCAGCTGTTCAGTTGTTCAGTCACAGTCCAGTCTCGGGTGTCTGGCAGTAAGGCTGAATAAAGCCCACATATTAGTTATCGCGCATCACTTATTCAAATAGGAATTTTTGGACAAGTTGTATGCTATCTGCTTGTTTCACCAGGAGACAGGCCTCGTAAGCTGTATGCAGAGAGAGCCCTCAACCTGCCACTAGGAGCCGAGCTCATCACTGGCAACATGTGGTACTGATGTCAAATCTTTATTTTACTCTCTTTTCCTCCTCCTCTTCATCATCTCTTCCTTTACCTGCATCAAGCCTATTTTTATCCTGTTTTTCACTTCTTCCTCTTCCTTAATTTTCTTTACCTGCTAATTGTCTTCCTTTGCTTCATTGTGTTTCTTTTCATTCCCTCAAGTTCATCTCACCTCAGGTAATCAGGTTTGTTCGTTTATTGACGTCAGCCTGTAACCTTTGTGTTTGTGTGTGTCTTCAGTGACCTGCTGTCGACTTCCTCCAACTCGGAGTGTCAGGACGGCCTGGTGGGAGGTCACGCTGACTGTCCTTTCCAGCGACGCATCATCCCTGCGCATAGGCTTCGGCCACGAAGGACGCACCCGGAGATCTTCCAGGTCTCCATCTACCTTCATTTTTTCTCTACTGTTCTACATACCAATAGCTTCCACTATTTACTAAACCTGATTTGCTAAGACTAGAGATAGTTACAGTATATGCATGGAAGTATGGTGTGTGAGGTCTTCCAACAAGCTCTTAGCAGCCTGTTAAAGGTGCCCCGTGGGTTTTTGACCACTAGTAATACTATGTTTTTTACAGTTTTGTTTGCATGCACCTGAGGACTCACATGCAAGCGCATGCATGGGTGATATAATATCTGGTTCTCCCCGATGGTTTCATGCTATTTTACCAATCCACAGCTGGTGGAGGTAACATGCCGAAAAATGTAGTAATGTGCCAGTGAAGATAGTGAACAAGAAGACTGCTAGCAAGCAAACATGGATGTTAACAATGTATTGTAGGTTTCAGATTCTTCCAAAAATTGGTTCATTTGTTAGGCCTCCAGGATACACACCATGTGTTTTGGTCAGAATCAGTGGATGTAAAGTTTACATAATTGTTGCAAAAAATTTCACCGGATACTTTTATCTAAATAGTTAAAACTCAGAGAAATAAAAGACATAACAAATTAATAAATGTATCCATTCATCCAAAATTATTAATAAATAACAAAATGAAACAATTGCCAGTCAGCTCACAATCAATAAATACATTAAATATTAAAATTATTAATTAATACATAAATAAAAAAATTCAACAATACAGTTTTAAAAGAAAAATAAATGAATGAATTTACAAATAAAAGTGACCCAGTGACATAAATGTTATGATATGATGAGTATTTTCTCTTTGTCAAACTGATTCACTGACTTGAGTCGTTGCTGCTGTTTGAAACAATAAGATCGGACCTGACTGGGTCGGCTTCAGGGCTGGATGCAACCCAGCAGCGGTGACATAATGTGCCTGGATCTGTTGTTGAAGCTGAAGCAACACAGACTCACTGCTGAATCATTAATGCACCACTTTGTGTGTGTGTGTGTGTGTGTGTGTGTGTGTGTGTGTGTGTGTGTGTATACTTCTGTTGTACAGCATGAAAAAGATGTTACTCTGTGTACCTATTATGACCCTGACTGTGTTTTGAGTTATTGCAGACTGAAAATCATGTAGATATAAAACATCAGATACTTTTTCTCTCCTGTGTCACTGCCGCTGAATTCATGTGGGTGTAAATTATTTGTGTTTTGTGCAGGAAGAGGACTCTTTGGATGAATCATCAGAGACTTCCACTCAGGAAAAACCAACCCGGAAGATTTACTACAAACTTGAACTGTTTCCCGGGAAGTGGATCAACATTTTATACGACCGACTCACCCTGCTTGCTCTTTTGGACAGGTAATACACAAAACTCTCTCCACTGTCACAGTTTGTCTGGACATAGTCTCAAGTCAAGAAAATCCAACTTGTGTTTTTTAGATGTTTTTTCTCTGTTCTATGTTTGTTGTCCTGTCTCTTTAAATCTAAAACACTCTTGTTCTTGAAAAGCCCTCAGTACATCTTCTAGCCCCATCCTTTTCATCAATATCACATCAGTTCTGGCCAGTGTAGTCAATGTTTGTGTCATTTAATTCCAGGTTGATCAATCAGTCTAATTTCTTTTCAATTCAACCACCAGTTGAGCAACAGCTCAATAGCTTAATGTCTATCTTTCCCTTTAAACACAGCAGCAAATGAGCATCAGCTTTGTGCAGGAATGATGCTCTTCATTAACGAGGTGATACCTGTGTACCTAATGAGCTACTGATTGCACTATTATTAATGTAATTATTAATTCTTGTATAGAAACCAGGATGTTCTGGAGAATCTGGTGGCAGTCTTCATGGCCTTCCTGGTTTCCTTCCTTGGTTTTGTGCTACTCAACCACGGCTGCTTCAAAGACTTCTGGGTCTTCCAGTTTTGCCTGGTCATTGCCAGCTGCCAGTATTCCTTACTGAAGGTAAAAAAAAAAAAATCTATGTTGAAGCAGTCGATGCTACCCCCACTAAATTCTATGAAGTAAGAAATTTCAGCCATTATTTTCCCAGTCTACAGGGGCTGAGTGAACATTTACTGTCGAGAAAAACCAAATGAAAGAGTGAAAACATTTCACAACTGAAACTAGCATGTATGGTATTTGAGGAATGTCTGCTATGCTGATGTTTTTCACAAGTAAAACTGACCTCAGTCTTGCCACTTCCTGTTTGCTCCTCCTCACCTTTTCTCTGATGAACTGGCTAGTGTCACTGCTGTTTTCAATTGTTCTCATGGTAATTTCCAAACAAAGATTCAGCACTGGTTTCTGTGGTTTTGTTTTCCAGAGTGTTCAACCAGATGCGGCTTCCCCAACACATGTGAGTGTAATGTTGCTTTGTTACTGAATCTCAGAAGTATATGATATAATAATTGCCAGTATTTTGGAAAGTTAACATCCATTACATCCCTGTTGGTTAGTTTCAACTTGTGACCAGTGTTCCTCTTCAGTGACGCATGTTGTCAGTCTTTGGCCTATGATGTTCAAAACAGTTCCCTTTTCATTATAATAATTTTGCTTTGATTTGTCTGATGCAATGTGCCCACAGAGGGTCTGTCCCTTTTTGGAGCTCTCTTAGTTTCGTCATGTCACTGTGAAAACACATCAAAGTGCAAGACACATGGGCACTCAACCTAATGTGACCCAAATTTGTAGCAGTGTTCATAGTATTATCTCGCTGTAGCTGTTATATCACTGTGTTGGAAATCAGGCTGAACCTCCTAACACCCTAACCTGTGTGTGTTCATGTGCGTGTGTGTCTCTCCAGGGTCACAACCAGCTGGTGGCCTACAGTCGAGCGGCCTACTTCTGTATTTTCTGCGCTCTGATCTGGCTGCTGGAGCAGCTGCTGAGGCGGAAGGACCTGCCCGTCTCCACCCTGTACGGGGTCACCATCGTCTGCCATGACGCATTGGGCTTCTTAAGAGACGTGTTAGTGGGTAGGGATGAATATACAGGAGATTTTTATTTCAGACAGTCCTATTACACAGCACCTAGTTTATTTGTTTCTGTATATCATTTATTTTCTTGTCCTTGACAGAAACGGCTTTTGTCTTATGCATTAAACAGGTTTTACCTACTGCTTCCCAATCACCTTCCTGGTGGGCCTTTTCCCTCAGATCAACACCTTCACCATTTACCTGCTGGAGCAGATTGACATGCATTTTTTTGGAGGGACAGGTTGGTAACACTGTTTCTAATCTTGTTCTTTAATCCAGATCCTAAAGAGATGTTAATTTTAATCTTCTGTTTTTACTGGGGGCATCTGTGGGTTTGTGTCTCTGGTTTGATGTCTGTGTGTGTAATGTGTATAGTGTGTATTCAGTGCTTAAAGCCCCTTAAAACTTGACTTTGAATCTCAGTTATTTGTCTATAACATTAAATACTCATGACTAAAAATGAGCAACCAAAATTTTAAACATGTCTATCTTTCTGTATTATTTACTAAGAATTTATCACTTAAATTCAGGTAACCTGCATCACCAGGACTGGGAATCAATCAGATTTGATTGACACTGACTGAACAACCAACCACCTGTCATCACATTATTACCTGAGAAGTTATCTGGGCCTTTAAGTAAAGATAAATCTTAGTGATTTAAAACCCATAAGAGTACCACTACTACAGTACATGCTTGGCTTTGTTTCTCATTGTTTAATACCTCTGCACATATTTTCATCCTCACTCTAATTTGTGTGTCTCAGCTGCTACGAGTCTCATCTCTGCAGTCTACAGCATCCTACGCAGTCTGATCGCTCTGTCTCTGCTCTACGGTTTCTGCTTCGGAGCTCTCAAGGTAGAAATAAAAAAAAAAAAAAAAAAAAAAAAAAAAAAAAAACACACAGCAAAGGCCTTTTCTCCTTTTTTTTCTATTTGTACTGAGTTTGTGTTCATGGTCATCCTCCTGGTTATAGGAATAGAAGAAGACAGGCAGTTATAAATAGCGTGCAGCCAGGGAGTTTCACTGATGGAACTAAGCAGAGCTGCAGCAAAATACAAAGTGCTGCAAGTCATCCTTCAAAAGTGACTACAAGATCGTAACTGGTGGGGGAAGAAGCTTTTAAACCGTGAAGATATAAAAGAAATAGTTTTAAAAAGGTACATGGCGTCGTGAATCACACTGTGTTTGTGTATGTGTGTGTGTGTGTGGTTACAGGAGCCGTGGGATGAGCAGCACACCCCAGCTCTGTTCTCTGGTTTCTGTGGCCTTTTGGTAGTTTTCTCCTACCACCTCAGCCGACAGAGCAGTGACCCCTCTGTACTACTGTGAGTATCTGTGTTTGTGTGTGTGTTTGTGTGTGAGTGTGTGAGATGTTAGCATGCACAGACTGCGCCTGACTACCATCCACTTAATACTCTGTAATAGTTTTAAAATAAATGAAGCATTAGAGGAAATGTAGGTGGATGGTTAATGCACTGCCTCTACTTTCCTACTTTATTAATTGTTAGTAATTTCCAAACGAGCTGAGAGTTAAATGCGAGCAGAAAGGGAAAATAATATTCATAAACATTGTTTTTCACTTTTCCTCAAATACTTTTATTTCAAACTGTTAAAAGCCAAATAAAAACAACGTTAAAAATACAAGATAAGAAGTGAAACTACAAAACATTCACAGGTGAGTTTTGTTGTTTTTGTTGTAAGGAAAGAATTTAGTTTATTCAGATATTCAACTTTTTCCATTTCTTTTCTGCTTGTTTTCAGTTTCGTAAAAAAAAAAAAAAAAAAGCTCATGTTATTCAACAAATAAGATCCTTCTGTTCTTAAAGTCCCCATCATTCACGTGTGACATTTTTAATTACAGATCTCTGATCAAGTCAAAGATAATGCCTGCCTTGGGAGAGAGTGAGGAAGAGGAGGAGGAAGCTACAGACATTAAAGACCCACTGCCTGAGAAACTGCAGAGCTCGATGGTAACTAAGGATTAACATAGAAATAAACTGGTGTAATGCAGTTTTGTTTCATCAGTAGATGATGAGTTCAGGTTATAATCAGACAATTGGATAATTCAGCTCTGAATACATTATCACTCTTTTCCTCTGAGGATTTATTGAACAGTTTCTATTGTTTTGAAATGCAGTAGCCTCCCAATAATTATCACTAGAAAATCAAAATTAACACTGTGCACCTGAGTTGTGGAATTCATGCATCCTGTATGTGAGACGCCTTAAACACCAGACAATGAAACAGTGTTCGCTGTCGATCATTGTGTGCAATTACAGGGAATTATGCATCAGAGAAAACAAGCCTCCCGCTGCCTTTTACAGTATTAATGGGGATTGTGAAGCTCTTAACTCTTCTCAAGCTGCTGTGTCTTTGATCTGCAAAAACTAAAGGCTCAGAACAATTAGACAGGAGTATTCACACACCTAAATGAGTCTGACGAACAAACGCGTTTTCATTTGGTGTGGATTATGAATTATTGCAGCTTCCCCTCCCTCTTGTGCTCCACAGAAGGAGATTCTGCTGTCGGATGTGGTCGTGTGCTCTGTCGCCTACATCCTAACCTTCGCTATAACCGCGAGTACCGTGTTCCTGTCTCTCAAGGTGAGATCCTTAATTGTTTCCTCTTTTTATACACCGCCTCTTACTTTTAATCTCTGCTGCATTTTGCCTGAATCCTAACCAATAAGTCGAGTGTAATAATTTTTTTATATTTTATTGGTTGAACTATTCATCTTCATCATGTTTCTAACATTATACACCGTTCGTATCCAGCCCTTTGTGACCATTGTGCTGTACGCTCTGGCGGGAACAGTGGGCTTTGTCACCCACTACCTGATCCCCCAGCTGAGGAAGCACCACCCTTGGTTGTGGATCTCCCACCCGGTCCTCAAGACGAAGGAGTACCACCAGTTTGAACCCAGAGGTCAGCATACCTACAAGTGTCTCTTAATTATTTACTTTTAAGTATGTGAACCCCCAGATCAACGAGCAGAGGGCGGGCACCATCTTCACAAGCGTTGTTTTGTACAAAATGTTTAACTCTTTATCTGTGCCTGGATCCATGTCTGCAGACAGGACAAATCCAGAGTGATGGACAGTAATTGATGGAGGATTTGACGGAGATGGCCTTGATTTTTAGAAACGTTATCAGCCTGGCCGTAAGGGTGTCAGTCACTCCACCACTTTGGACCAGACAGGAAATATTTCAATAACTAGTCAATGTATTGTTATGAAATTTGGTGCTTGAAGGATGAATCCTCTCTGACTTTGGTGACCCTGTAGCACTACCAGCAGGTCAAAGTCTCACTTGTCCAGTGAAATAACTTGACATCTGGGAGATGGATTGGCACATTATTTTGTACAGACATTCATGGTCCCCAGATGATGAATCCTAATGACATTGGTGACCCCCTGACTTTTTGTGTAGTGGCACCATGAGGTTGGATTCACACCCAATAGCTATGAAGATTTATTGGTTGCTATTGCACCACCTTTTGATGGAATGCCATCTCATTCCACCAAAATCTTTTAGATAGTTTTTGAGATAGCAACCTTGGCTGAGATAAATATGATGAGTATGAGTATGACCTATCAGCATGATGTCCCTTACTGAATAACAAAAAGCACATACTCCCAGAAACATTGCACTAAATCTCTGGAAATCTGTGATTCTGATCTGCTTGTGTAGTTTATTCTTTATTTGTGCTTGTCTATCAGAGGACGCTGTGCTGATGTGGTTCGAGCGACTGTATGTGGGGCTCCTGTGCTTCGAGAAGTACGTGGTGTACCCCGCCATCGTGCTGAGCGCACTCACTAATGACGGCTTCGCCCTCAGTCACCGCAAGAAGCTGGGAATCCAGTGAGTGGACACACACAGCCACAAACTCACAGCATCATCAGAGAGTGTGTGAGTGTGAGTGTGTGTGTGTGTGTGTGTGTGTGTGTGTGTGTGGTGACCCAGCTGTTGAATCTGTTGTCTGCCTCCGCCTCCAGCTGTGATGTTCTCCTGACGACAGTCGCTGGACTGAAACTCCTGCGTTCATCCTTCTGCAACCCCAGCTTCCAGTTCCTCACTCTGCTCTTCACACTCGTCTTTTTCCACTTCGACTGCCCGCGCGCCTCCGAGAGCTTCCTGCTGGACTTCTTCATCATGTCTATCATCTTCCACAAGGTGGGAGAAAGATACAGCAGATGCATCCAGATATAGTTTTGTCAAGCCTGAGGTTTTATTATCATTTGTAGTGATGTGGAGGAATGTAATAGGTATAACATTATTTTCCTATTGGACAAAGGTTAGTGAGTTAAACAACAGACGCTACCATCAAATGTTTCAAACGTATCGCTCTCAGTATTCTGCTGAGCTCTTCTCACAGACTGTGTGTTTGTGTTTCTCTCCAGATGCGTGAGCTGTTGCTGAAGCTCCATTTCATCCTGGTTTACATCGCTCCTTGGCAGATCGCCTGGGGCAGCGCTTTCCACGCCTTCGCTCAGCCGTTTGCAGTGCCTCGTATCCTTTCTCTAAATCCTGTGTGTGTGTGTGTGTGTGTGTGTGTGTGTGTGTGTGTGTGTGTGTGTGTGTGTGTGTGAGAAAGTGTACCTGCTTTTCTTTCCTTCACCGGTGTGCATCCAGACTCGGCTATGCTGCTGCTCCAGACGTTGCTCACCACCATCTTCTACACCCCGCTGGCCCCCTTCCTGGGCAGCGCCATATTCATTTCCTCCTATCCACGGCCCATCAAGTTCTGGGAGCGAAACTACAAGTAAGGCCCAGATAAAGTGTTTGAGTGGGTGTGGCGTGAGCTTCCCAAGCAGCCTGGAGGTGGCACTGAAAATCGTTTGCTCACATTGTGAGTTTAGATTGAAGAAATGCTGAAAGCTGCCAGTTCAAGAAAAGGTTGAATTGTCAACAAATCCTGTGGAAAGACCAATAATGATTTAATCATACGAATGAAAAAGTGTTGTTAGTCAGCCTGTTAGATCTTATTTTTCCATGCCATAGTGTTGTCCAAACACTATTAAAAACACATCAATGTGTTCCTTCATTACTATGAACATGAGCACTGTAGCTTATTTTGGGTTGGTTGAGTCCCACACTCTTGCTATAAATACTCACAATCCACAGCTAAAAATAGTCCCCAACCTGCACTATTTCCTCCTGTTTTTGTAACATTTACAGTTAACAATTTACAGTAACACTACAGTTCCCGCCTGTTTTAGGAAATTATTATTAAAAAAAATGTTTTAATTAAACTATATTTTTTATATTTTAAAATATTTTTTTACCTGTTTTTAAAAGTGTATGTCCCCAGTAGGAGCCATTGGACTTGGGTCACAGAGATGTTGAGCCTTATTCTTTTATTTTGGTGTTGCTGGGTAGATTTGAAAATTAATATTTGTCATCAAAATCAATGTTGAACACCTCAGAAGTGAAGTGACATCACTGATCACTGTATCCATGTGACACCTGTCATCACTGCCGTGTTCCTGCTGCTGTGTGTACTTTTCACATCTGTCTGTTTTTTTTTCTTTTTATTGACTCCATCTCGAATCAGTCTCATCTTTTTGAGCTGAGCTAGGCGGATTAGCAGATAGACGCTACGTCCCCTCCTCCTCTCTCTCTGTCTCACTCACACTTGCACAACGTAACCCCTCTGTTCCCTCTCACTTATTGATGTGAGAGACTGTTTGTGCTTCAGCTCGCTGAAAGCACTCCAAAAATACTCCTGCAGCTTTGTTGTGCACACTGCAGTGATTTGACACGAGGTAGCCCGTGATTATATTTAGACTGTGTTGACAGTATTTGAACTGAAACTCGTGACATTAAAACCACTGATGGCTTCATCTCTGCTGGAGTCAGATCTCGGTGCACGGACGACAGGGAGGCACGTGTTTTATTCAGGTTCTTCATCTTGAAATATTTAGTTTCAAGTGTTGCTGCAGGGTTGTTCATTTACAACCAGTGTGATGCGTCTCGTTCCTCAGAAGGCACCGAAGGAGATTCACTATAAGAGGACTTGTTCTTCATCAGTGCTTTCTTTTCTGAGAAACAACAGTGAAGCAGTCCTGAGAGGATTTTGAAGTGATATATATTATCTGTATCAGCTCCTCTCAGCTGGCTTTGGGGATTGTCATTTGAAAATAGCTGTAGACTTGAGTCAAAACTGATACTGTTGCATTTTATTCACCCTATTTTACACGAGAAATACTTGTCACCGTAGCATGAGTGGGAGCTCTATATGTTTTGTTCAGTTTTTTTGTCTGCCTCCTGTTCTATGCAGCACGAAGCGTATTGACAACTCCAACAGCAGACTGGTGTCCCAAGTGGATAAGGAGACAGGTGAGTTCTTTCTTACAATTACAATTTCCTCTGTGTCAATATTGTGAATTTAACCTTTTTTCCATATCCACATATCCTCACAAAAGATACAAATTGCCTTCTTGTAGATTAGAATCGTTATAGGAAGGAAGCAACTGAACTTCACCCACTTTTTTTTCCCCACAATCTTTTCATTTGTGTCTTGACACTCGTACGTCCATCTGACCTTTCGCTTTCGCCCTGCCCCTCTCTTGCAGGCTGTGATGATAACAACCTAAATTCCATCTTTTACGAGTACCTGACTCGCTCGCTGCAGCATTCACTTTGTGGCGACCTCATGCTGGGCCGATGGGGCAACTACAGCGCCGGAGACTGTTTCATTCTGGCTTCTGACTACCTCAACGCCCTGGTCCATCTGATCGAGATCGGCAACGGGCTGGTCACTTTCCAGCTGAGGGGTCTGGAGTTCAGAGGTACAGTCTGACCATCCCATGACCTCCTCCATAGTCAGAATGGACGGTTAAATAACTCGGTGTCTCACTGCTACACCTCCATCTCTCTCCATCTCCAGGTACATACTGCCAGCAGCGAGAGGTGGAGGCCATCACAGAGGGTGTGGAGGAGGACGACGCGTGCTGCTGCTGCGAGCCGGGCCACTTGCCTCACATGCTGTCATGCAACGCCGCTTTCAACCTGCGCTGGCTGGCCTGGGAGGTGATGGCCACCAAGTACCTGCTGGAGGGTTACAGCATCAGTGAGAACAACGCCGCCACCATGCTGCAGGTGTACGACCTCCGAAAGCTGCTCATCACCTACTACCTGAAGGTGCGGTTTCACTCCAAACTGAAACACGCAGGAGAGGAGAGGATGTGTTTATACTGAGGCAGTGTGTTGCAGAACTAGAGGGTTTTCAGATGATTGTATGAGTGCTGGGAATGTGAAACAGAACAGATACCAACATATTCCTACTATGGCTGGGCAACATATCAATATTTAGAATTTGCCTTTTTTTTGAAAATATACTCTATATCTCAGACTTCATGAAATTCATTTTGTTGAAATTAACACTAAAAATCTTGTTTTTGTCTTTATCTTTTAAGTCATCTTTTTCTTTCATTTTGTTAAGCACTAAAAATGAAATGCTTCCATTCATCATGCTGTGCAATGTAAGAAAAAAAAAAATCTAATTTGCTCTTAAAAGATACTGATTATTTATCCATACTGCTGAGCCGTACTACGTTCAACAAGCTGGATACCTGACAAACACGCTGATGTTAATACAGTGAAACAACAATTAGCTACACCAGGGAAGAAGTAAAAAAAAAAAAATCACCACTTTCTTCAGCCTAGATTAAAAAAGATTGGGCTAGAGCTTCCAGAAATATTTTGGATGATTTGAAGGTGGAAAGATGCACCATCATAGCATTCACAGCAGCTGCTAGCATAGCTGTAGACCCTTAGTATTTTATAATAATAAACTTTATGTAGCATGTTAATTAACAAATGGGAATTAAAAAACATCTCCTGTGCTGTAGATGCCAGGATGTGTTTTCAAACTAAACAGCAGCAAGAGATCACTCAGTCCAGAGTAGATTCTTCTGGTTTGAAGCATCTGAGAACGCACGCCCACATGTACTATATTTGATCTGCTGTTGACGGCGTCACAGCTCAGATTTGATTATTTTGACATCAGGAGTCACTGGTATTGAAGGGAACCTAGTGCGGCGTTAATAATGCATCAGCTTTTGACATTCAATCAGCCTGTCTCCAGCGGCGGACAGAAAATTGAATATTCCTTTTGTTTAAACAGGTTGTTAAAGATTAGCCTGTCTAATAATTACAAATGGCAGCTTGCCAATAGTTGATTCCAGATGTGGTCAACACACAACACTTCCTTCTCTTTTGCTTTCCTTTTGATTAGCATTTTACTCTCGTCTTATCTTGTCTGAGTTTAAAAAAAAAAGAAAAAGAAATCTTGTCTGAACCCCCCCCCTCTCAGAGTATCATCTACTACCTGGTCCACTCGCCCAAACTGTCCACCTGGCTGAAGGACGCCGCCATCCAGGAGGCACTGCAGTCCTACACCAAGTGGCACCACATTGAGCGCGACCCTCAGGTGTTTAGTGTGAAGATCGATGAAGACTACGTGCACTGCCTGCAGGGGGTGACGCGAGCCAGCTTCTGCAATGTCTACCTGGAGTGGATCCAGTACTGCGCTGGGAAGATGGAGACGGTACAGCACTTAAAGATTATTCTATTGGACTTCATTTTGGGTTAGAGTAGCTGAGTGATTTTCTACTGCTGTTTCTCATGGCTGCAACTGTGAAGTATTTTCATTGATTCATCTTTTTTTTTTTTCTTGCTTTGTCATTTCATCTTTAAAATGTCAGAAAATAGTGAACAATTTGTCTTACCAACAACACCAACCTGTAATAAATACTCAGGCAAAGAAAATAAGCAAATATTCACATTTGAGAAGCTAGAACTGGGGGATTTCTGACTGACTGAATTAGTTAAATGTTTAATTAGTCATAGAAATTCAGCTCTGCTATTATATTTAATTCAGAAATGTCAGATGAGTAAAAGGGAAAAAGCAAAGGCTGCAAATTGTTCTTGGGGGGAAAACGGTTGTGTGACAAAGCAACATTTTATAACCACAAATGCATCATGAGAGAAGGCAGAAATTTTTTTTTTTTTTTTAATCTTTGGCCCGTACACCACCAGTATCTCCATGTTTGTCTTGTGTCTCTTTGTATTTGTGTCCAGCCTGTGGAGAGCGATGAAGACTCTCCTCTGGTTACTCTGTCCTACGCTCTCTCTGTCCTGGGGAGGAGATCCCTCGGCACGGCGTCACACAACATGTCCAACAGGTAAACCTTAGTAAAAGGACCTGTAATCACTCTCTGAACCGAGGTGTGTGGGAGGGTCGTGGGGATTCTTACAACAGGATTTTACTCGCGTGTTGTACTCTCAGTATGAGCTAATGAATTCTGGTAAGAGCCACAAGGTCCCACTGTGCAAGTATAGTCACTAAAAATATGTGTCCCACTTTGAGTTAAACTTATTAATGAGTAATTCATTGAGGACAGACAAAAGGTAGGCGGCAGGTGAGATAACTGGATGGTTCCTATTGCTGTATGCTCTATGTAACATTTGCTGAACAGAGACCACGAGTGACATTTACAGGTGAATGGTAAATTTCTTGTATTTTCAGCAACTTTTTGTTTCGTGCCTTGTATGTTTTTATGGAGCAAATTCAATACAAGACAGGTTCTTTTTCAGGAGACAAACTCAACCTCGACTTTAAGCTTGATATTGTTCAAATTTGTGATTTGGGGCTTCATAAAAAAATTGTTTTTTGGATTAATTGATTAATCAAATACAAATATAACTTTGAAAATGTAATTATTAATGTAAAACTACATTAATATTAAACGTAGCATTGAGTGTTCTTCTGCATTCTGAAATTTTGTATTTCATGTTATTTATCAAATACAAGAAATGACAGTTGTAGAATTTGACTGGATGTAAAGGTGCTGAAAGGTTATGTATTAGATGTAAAATCAGAACTAAGTTCAGATGAAATACAGTATTGGTAGATATTCACCTGCAGTTAGACATGTGCACCAGAAGGGGGCGCCAGCATCTAAATCTTCAAACATCCACATCAGTCAGACAGATAACTGTCACTGCACACTGCACTCAAATGACTTTTTGTCTAAAAATATTTCATAGTTTCATAACCTGTCTCTCTCTCTCTCCCTCTTCATCCCTCCATCGCTTTCCTCCCACCACGAAGTCTGGAATCATTTCTGTACGGTTTCAACACCCTGTTTAAAGGCGACTTCCGCATCGCCACAAAAGACGAGTGGGTTTTCGCTGATCTGGACCTCCTGCAGAAAGTGGTGGCTCCTGCTGTCAGAATGAGCCTCAAACTGCACCAGGTAAAGAATACGGTGCTTGTAAATGGCTGCTGCTGTATCTTTATGGTGTAATTCAGGGACTGTAAACCTGCCTCCTGTCTACGTCTGTTTATTGTGTTGATTTTTCCTCTCTTGCAGTTCAATGCAGAGAAGGTTTTGACTAATTCTACTCTGAAATGCGTATGCAGTACATATGCATTTCTGATAACACCTTTAGGGTGGTCATTTCTCCTCCCTGGAGTAGACATCTTCCTAAAATCTGCTTACATCCCCCCAGTGCTCCATCATGCCTTTCCTGCCCTTTCAGGATCACTTCACCTGTCTGGAGGAGACCGAGGAGGCGTCCATCTTGTACGAAGCCATCACAAACTACCGCAGCAGCCTGGTCATCTGCCACGAGAGTGACCCTGCGTGGCGTAAGGCGGTGCTATCGAGCCGCGACACGCTGCTCACGCTGAGACACATGATCGATGACGGCACGGACGAGTATAAGATCATCATGTTATACAAACGCCACCTCAGCTTCAAGGTTATAAAGGTAAAAGGTTGTCCGTGGTTCAATTTGCAGGCACAGTCAGGAAATGTAGGTACAGACAGTGAATGAATGTAAAAAATATATATATACCAACTTATATATATACACACCAACTTGGACAACTTGGCTGTGAAGTTCATCCTTGAGGTGCGTCACCAAACAACCACCACAGTCACGTTTCTGTCCGTATGGCAGCGCTCAGACGTGAACATCATCACCAAGTCAAAGCTGAACAGAAAAGGGAAAAGTATGACCACAAGTGCTCACCTGAGACCCAGTTCAGGTGCTTTCTGATGCCAAGTGTCGACTGCAGCTGAATATATCTGAATACAAAATAGTAGGTTTGAACAGCGGCTGAGCTGCAGGACAAGAACTGAACGAATGTAGTAGTAACTTTATTTCAGACACAGAGGTCCTTATCAGCCTAAAAGTAAAATAAATAAAACATCCTGCAGGACAATGACACAAAAAATAAAATTGTCGCAGTTTATGAATCTAGTCACAAACATATGACTCGCACTTGTCCATCTTGGAAGCTTGAGCAAGACTCTGAATGCATCATTATATATGGCACCAGAAGCTTTTTTCATTTTTGCTTTACTTTAACTGCTCCACATGGGCATCAGATCATCCCTGATGATGTGACCCAAGTGCCTTACTTCGTTCACTACAATTAGCACTTAAAGTTTCAATCGTTCATCATTATGAGATGATGTTAAAGGAGGAGTTTGACATTTTAGGAAATATGTTTATTTGCCTTATTACCAAGAATTAGATGAGCTGATCAGGCAGACAGGCTGCCTCTTCCCCCATGTTTCCGGTCGTGAGCAGATGACAATGGTTCTGTCTCGTTCCGGGATATACAGTATATTATCTTTCTTCTATTTCAGTAGCTTTCATACAATTGGGATTTTCCTGGTATCATAAGCAGTGGCAGAGACCAGCCAATACCATTGCAATTATGTTTTATGACAATGCAGGATAATAAAACATAAATTTAAAAAGTAATTTCACCATCATGTTCTCTGGGTCTTTCGTCTATAAGCTCCTGTATTATCGCATCTCTCTCTGCAGATCAATAAGGAGTGTGTGCGAGGTCTGTGGGCGGGCCAGCAGCAAGAGCTGGTGTTTCTCCGGAACCGAAACCCGGAACGCGGCAGCATCCAGAACTCAAAGCAAGCGCTGAGGAACATGGTCAACTCGTCCTGCGACCAGCCGCTGGGATACCCCATGTATGTGTCATTCACAGCTACGCACAGAGCTTAGGGATGAAAGTTTGCGTTGATGGAAATATGCGTGGTTTTAAAAATCTCAAACTACATTGATTGAGGTGTTTAACGCGTGTCTGATAGTACGACATTTATTTCATAATATTTCCAGGTATGTGTCACCACTGACAACATCGTACGCGGGAACACACCGTACGCTCCGCAGCATTGGAGGAGGGGCTTTAAGTCTGGACTCCATTCGTTCCTGGCTCTGCACTAAATGGTTACGGTCAGTTCATTATTTCCTATCTCAGTCAATAGTGCAGTCTGTCTTTCTCTCCTTGCCTCCTCACACTCAACCTGCCTTCTTTTTGACTGAGCTCTTCAATTAACACTTCACATGATAGACGTGCTGTAGAAAAACAAAGCCTCCCTCATCATTTTTCTTTTTTATTTAGTTCAGTGTCAGTTAAAAAAGACAGCGCTGTAACTGAAAGGTCATGGGTTCAGTTCCCGGAACAACCATCAGTCTCAGAGTCTTAGAATAAGACCCTCGGGGTAAGAGGGTAAGAGAAGGCATGGTTTGATTTATTTGGCTGTACACTTAAAGTAAAAACTGGGATGCTTCTTACAATCAACTAACTGACTGTCAGCTGAGGAGTATTGCTCAGATGTCCTCAGTCTTGAGCAGCTAAAATATGGTTTTATAGGTCATTCTCATGAAAGCAGGAAAAAGTATCAAGCTGATAAAAGAATCTTTTTCTGTGTTTTCTTTTGCGGGTATTTGGTGTAAATCACTCTGGATAATGTGCACACCGCAGCGTGATGCTCCGGCTGCTGCTGAGTGAGTGCTTCTCTGGATTTACAGATATTGACATAGTGGAAGTCAGGCCTGGGGGGGGGGGGACTTGCCCGCCAACTTAATGTAGTTTTAAATACATGTAGAGGGACAGTGGGAGTGCAGAGTGGGAGGGCAGCCAAACGCTTTGACTTTCTGCTGTAGCTGCAATGTTGCTTCTCACTTCCCTCCTTCTCTCTCGTCCTCCGGCTCTACATCCATCTCTCCCTTTATCTTCTTTCCTTTCTCAATCCCTCTTTCAGACATTACCTTCAGCATGATTATCGTATAGGCCCTGCATTAACCTCTGCGGGTCAGCTAATGGTATATGTATATGAATGTGTGTGTGTGGCTCTCTCTTAAGCTTCTTAGTAGCTGAGTTTTCCTTTCAGATTAGATTGTTAATCCTGTTTCATCGGCCTTCAGATAAAGGTGTTGTCTTAATTTCACTAAGTAGCCGAGGAGCCAAGGAGACGAGCCGCGCCTCCTCAGCCAGAGCGCATTTAACTAATTTAAGAGGAAGACTGCACTAGTGTGTGTCACATATGCTAGCACAGTTACATAACATCCCTTTCTGTCTGAGTGTAGGTTTGTGTGTGTGTGTGTGGTTAACCAGCTGGAATAGTCAAGGCTTGCTAAATTTTTGATGGCCCTTTGCCAGTTTGTGTCCTTTGCACTGATGTGGACATGAATAAGTAAATCATTGTTGTTTTTGTGTGTGTGTGTGTGTGTGTTCTGTAGGGTGCGTAAGGACAACCTGACCAGCTGTAACAGCGGCGTGAACATGGAGGATGTGGACTGCGGTGCCGGTGGTTCGTCCTCGCTGAGTCACAACCGCCCGTCCTCCGTCACTTCCAACAGCTTGAGCCTCTACCAGCAAAGAGCCAGGACCACACACAGCCACAGACACCACAACGCAGGTACACACCTACACACCTACACACCAACACACACACACACACACACACACACACAGGTCTCATTATCCTTGTGGAAAGTTTCTATTCACTGCATTGGTTCCCTTATTGTGACCTTAACAGGGTCCTACCTGAAATTGTGCCAAATGAAACATCTTCAAACTCCGATTCGAGAGACTGAAATCAGAGAAATTCTGTTGCACTATTTGTGTTTGATAAAGGCCTGAAACATTTAGCAGTTGCCAATTATTTTTCTGTGGCTCCACTAATCGATTCATCAATTAATTGTTTCAGCTACAATTGAATCATTAAAGGGTGTGTATTTCTGTGTGTGTGTGTTTATGTGTCTGCAGCTAGGAGAGAGTACCGCAGTCGGTCAGTGCAGCCTCAGAGTCAGCGCCCCCCCGTCAGCAGCCAATCGGGGCCCATCCTGGACTCAGGCTCCACCCATGGGCTCGTCCAGCGTCTGTCCAACAGTCAACTGTCCTTCAACACGTCCATAGCCTCTATATTCTCCCAGGTAAACACACACAGTTAAGTTTAGCGTGCGTTTGCTAAGGGAATGAAGTGACGAGAGGATCGTTCTCTCTCCTCAGGTCCCTCGTCTCTCAGGAGCAGGAGGGATCAGCTCGCAGCTCCAGGCAGCGCAGCATCAGCAGCGCTCCAGCCAGGTAAGAGCGTGTTATACTTCTATACGTACAGACTGTGTTGGCTAACACACTACAACACGTGGTTAACAGACAGAGCTTTCAAAACTGACAACTTTTAAAATGAAAGAAAAAGGGAACCAGGCTTTGGTGTTTTTTTAAAAATCAATTCATGATAAAGAAAAACTAGTCCCACCACCACTTCAGTTTGATTATACTGCCCTTTCTGGATCCACAAAAAAAATAAAAATAAAAGTTGTACATGATCTCAGACTGAAATCAAATGTATAGACTTCAGGAAGTATTTGCAAATGGTAATATTCTTATAAAATGAAAAGACTGTATGCAGCATACTCAAATTAAAGTAGATTTAGAGAAACCCAGCCTCTGACTATTTTTATCTTAAAGCCCCTAATATTTCCAATCAGGAAAGACTCATTTGCTTAACAAATAAACTTTTATTGCCATGTGCAAAATGAGACAGGAAAAGGGAGAGATGTGAGAGTCTTTGGCGGTTAAACCACAACGTGATGTCATATGTGATTAGGGGGTGAGGCTGTGCAAAGTACAGGAAACCCCCTGGGGTCTAGACACTGGCGGTGATTTTGAAGACAGGAAGAGGAGAAGCCGGAGACCTGGATGCGATGAGAGTGATGATGAGCTTGACCTGACTGGATATGAAGACTGGAGGTGAAGGAGGGTCACAGCAACTGCACTGAAATGACAGCTGACAACAGGAGAGAGGAGAACAGATTTTAAAGTATGACAGGGACAACTTGATTTGGCTGGTTGAGATCGTGGCACGAGCCGATTGGCTACCGAGCACCTGAAATCAGCTGATTACAAGTAAGGTGAGAGGAGAATAGAGATGGACTTAAACTGTGGCAGGCAAAGTCAATTTAGTATTAATTTAAATAATAAGTAACTACATTAATGGGGAAAACAAGTCAAATATTGTCTTGACATTTGCAAAGGCATGAGCAATCGGAGATAGTTCTAATGGATCGTCGATCACAGATACCATCGTACATCTGCACAACCCTAGTGTGAATACACCCAAGAGGCATTGAGGACAAATTTGAGATCTGATCACTCAGACCACATCCGGTGGTGGTCTGGGCCACATTCAAGGGCCACCTACTCTACCGACATCCTCTGACAGTCTGATTAGTCCCGCCACACTTTCATAGGCCCTGTTCAGACCTGTATTAACATCCGTCCCGGGTGATCCGATCACTGAGTGGACAGCTCTCAGTTCGTCAGTTCACACCTGGCTTTAAAATGCATCTCCACATGCGTCTCGATTGACCACTTGTGATCGGATCTCATTTCTTGGCTTTATATGCAAATAAACAGGTATGCCTTGTTTTTAGCCAAATTGACAGACCGGTCCGTTGTTAATGTTCTTGTGTGCCAAGCTGCAACCTCCGAGGCCGGCTCCAAAAAGCGAGTCAATCCCCACAGACTCCCATGTTAAAATGCCTCAACTTTACAGCAGAAATAAACATGTTTGCAGCCTGGTACAAAAGAGTTTGGGTCTCTATAGCTAATTTCCTCCTTCATGACAACTGTGTGGGGGGGTGAATTTTTATATAACTAACTTTTTTAAAATTTGTATTGAAGCTTAAATTTCTGTATAATTGAGGGGCTCAGTTCAATGCGCCCCTCCTCTTTGCCCATTTTTGGATTAGCCCAGTACTGGCAAGATGGCAACGACAGAACAGCCCACTCTGAGCTTCAAAACCGCTCCTCAGAAACGTATGGGTGACGTCACAGAGGCTACGTCTCTCTTTATTTAGAGTCTATGGTGTGTGTGTGAGCAGGGAAGTGAGATTCGATCACAAGTGGTCAATCAAGACGCATGTGGAGAAGCATTTTTAGTCAGGTGTGAACTGACGTACTGAGAACTGTCCACTTGTGATCGGATCACTGAAGACCCAGGTTAATACTGGTGCTGAACAATTAAGCTCATTTTCATCGCCATATGAACATGTGCAATAAATACATTGCAAAAGACTGACTGAAATGCAGTGAATTAGAAAAAAATAATTTAATTTACACACACACACACACCATGTGCCTGAGCCAGATGAACCAGAAAAACTCAGGCGGCAGTGTAGACCTGTTTGCAGTGAACTTTTTACTGGAACTACAGTCTTAGCTCTGAGTGTCATCACAACCTTTGCAAGTAAATAAGCAATAAGTGGCTGACTTCAGTGAGTAGCTACTTGATGCAAATAAAAACATGATGTCAATGTGAAAGAACTCCAAATTCTGATAGGGTTCATTTGACAATTTATAAATATAAAATAAATACTTAATGTGTACTTCATTTCAAATATTGGATATATTATGTTTACTTAGGGTGAAGCCTCTGCTTGAAAACGATTGATATGGGAGTAGCTTTGATGGCAGGATGGTTAACACAGAGTTAACCCGACAATAACTGATTAGCAGATTTTGAGCTTTCAAAGTTGTGCTCAGTAGTTACTCCCCAAAATGAACATGTGATTGCAGCGTGAGCAATGATGCCTACCTAGGGAGGCCTGGGACATGAGGCCTGGGACCTCTGAGCAGCTTCCACAACATGAGTGTGATCGGGCTTGAGGCTGGCTGCAGCATGGAGCCCGGGTGCGGCCGTGGTCACAGAAGATGAGGCGGAGATGTGGCGATCCCCGCGGATTGCGTGAAGTCGGGCCGGGAACAGGTGAGGTGATTGAAGTGTAGTCTGCAAGAGTGGCCTGCTCCGAGTGACGGAGCACAGCTATCGACTCAACGGCAACTCGTGTGGCTGAGAAAGAGGCGAGAGGCTGGAGCGACGGTCGGCCCAGAGTTGAGACGCAGGAGTCCGCTCATCTGTTGGAGTTGCTGCATAGACCAAGAGGACTGCTCCTAGCCCGCCGACCGCCGCCTGAGGAAAGTGGAAAATCTCCTGCAGCAGGACGTGCTGAGATTCAAAACGACGATAATCGGCGCAAGACATCGGCTTCACGATAATGCAAACGCGACGCGGGGTGAACTTGTTGACTTGATAAGATGTGTGTGGTGCCGTGTTGTCTGTGTTATGGTGAGCATAGAGGGACAAACACTTGACCAAAAGACAGCTGAAAAAGTGCGGATTGAAATGGACGGAACTGTGGAACTGCGGTTGTCAGCCCGGGTGGATATTAAAAATTGCCAGAGAACAAAACATTATATAAAGTCGTCACCGGTAAGCTACCGCACTTTGCAGGCTACGACCCAGCTGGTTCATAAACCGTAATCCTGTGAACAAGCACAAACCATCTGTGCGACATCTTTACATATACAACAACACTTGAGCCCACCCTAGCTAACCACTAACATGCTGTTAAGAAAAGAGCCAGGAACCAACACAACTACGCACAAAAGACCGATATGCAAATATGTTTGAACAACTCCATTGACTATAATCGGGAGAGTGGTACACAGTAAATGGTGTCAATCTTACCATAATAAAAATCACCCACTAATTCGGTCCGGAAACATTGAATATCTGCCAAAAGAAAAGAGTCTGAATACATGATTATGGAGCAAATAGAAATAAAGATGTTCATTTAGCACAAAAGGAACACGATTACTTTGAGGGTGTCGATCTTCATTTGAGCAACAAATTGACAGACAAACACCTACACCACAAAAGCCACACTTTGCAGCTCATCTAATCTGCAGGCTTGGCTCACACTCTCACAGAACTACACTATTATTCTATTCATCCCGCACACCCATCGTCGAGGCGCTCAATGCAGCATCTTTTGCTCAAGCACGACACAAGGATTCATATGATTCGTTGTGGAAGTTCCTAAATAGAACAAAGTTGGCATTATTGAGTATGCCCATGTACTATGTGATCCTCATACCAAGGAGAGTCCTAACAGCCGGGATTGTGCAATACTAGTAGCAAGAATGATAAAACATCTTCAGGACACGTGCCGAGCATATTACACGTGAAAGAGAACTGAATCAAGAAAAAGAAAAATTACATTGGCGAGGCTATGCTGTGTTGATAGAGAAGTGCTTCTGAAAGCATGTTAGAGAAGCAGTGTTTGCCACCAATTGTATAATTGATCTACGTGTCTGTCGCTCAAACTTAAATATGCGGATTCCACCATTCTTAATTAGTCTAGTTTCAAGCGATTACAAACATTCGGAGAGTGATTATATTAAAAGAGTGATGTTTCTTAATTTCACCTGAGATGGTATGCTTAGTGTGTATTACGCTGGTACATGCATGCTAGGCAGAGAGTATCCATTTAGCAAAATATGTGCGTTGAGCCTCGGTCAGTGCACTCAGAGTACAGTCGCCCCTCCTCGTCAGGCAGCCAATCGACGGCCGCATCCTGACTCAGAGGCTTCCACACATGTTAGGACTCCGTCCAGCGAATTCTGGACTCTTCAAACAGTCACACTGTCTCTTCAAACATACGTCACATAGCTCCTATAGCTCCTTGCAGTGCGTAGTAACACACACACAGTTTAAGTTTAGCGTGCGTCTTGCTAAGGGAATGACAGTGACGAGAAGGCAATCGTTCTCCCTCTCCCCAGGTCCTCGTCTCTACAGGACAGGAGGAATGCAGGCCTTCGAGCTCCAGGCCAGCGCAGAGGGAGCATCCACTAGCTGAGCTCTGTCAGCCTCAAGGTAAAGCGTGTTATACTTCTATACGTACAACTTGTTTGGTCACACACTACAAACACGTGGGTTAACAGACAGAGCTTCAAAACTGACAACTTTTTAAAAATGAAAGAAAAAGGGAACCAGGCATTTGTGTTTTTTTAAAAATCAATTCATGATAAAGAAAAACTAGTCCCCACACCACTTCAGTTTGATTATACTGCCCTTTCTGGATCCACAAAAAAAATAAAAATAAAAGTTGTACATGATCTCAGACTGAAATCAAATGTAGTAGACTTCAGGAAGTATTTGCAAATGGTAATATTCTTAATAAAATGAAAAGACTGTATGAGCATACTCAAATTAAAGTAGATTTAGAGAAACCCAGCCTCTG